ACAGGCATGCTCTACCATGCCCGGCTAATTTTTTTGATTTTTTTATTGTAGAGATGAGGTCTCGCCTGCCCAGGAGGGTCTTGAACCTGCAGGCTCAGGCAATCCACTCACCTTAGCCTCCCAAAGGCACGGGATTACAGGCTGAGCCACTGAGCCCGGCTTATTTCATTACATATTAAATTATCATCATAATAGAAATAATAGAAATAAAGTGCACAATAAATGTTATGCACTTGAATCATCCTGAAGCCATTCCCCCACCCCAGTCCATGGAAAAAGTGTCTTCCACAAAACCGGTCTCTGATGCCAAAAAGGTTAAGGACTGCTGATCTACACCAAAAAACTGTTAAAGCTCATCAATAAATTCCTCAAAGTTGCAAGATACAAATCACACACAAATCTGTTGTATTTCTATACACTAGTAACAATCTGAAAAGAAAATTAGGAAAACAATTCCATTTATAACAGCATCAAAAAGAATAACATACTTAAAGGTAAATTTAACTAAGAAAGTATAAGACTTGCACATTTAAGAACTATGAAATATTGCCAAAAGGAAAATCTAAACAAATAGACACCCTGTGTTCATGGATTGGAAGACTTACTATCGTTAAGATGACAGTATTGGCCAGGTGTGGTGGCTCACACCTATAATCCCAACACTTCAGGAAATCAAAGTAGGAGAATCATTTGAGGCCAGGAGTGTGTGACCAGCCTAAGTAACATAAGATATCCCATCTTTACAAAAATGTTTAAAAGTTAGCCAGGTGTAGTGGTGTGCGTCTGTAGCTCCAAGTACTCAGGAGGCTAAGGCAGGAGAATTGCTTGAGCCTGGCAGTTTGAGACTGCAGTGAGCTTTGATCATGCCACTGCAGTCCAGCCTGGGCAACAGAGTGAGACATAGTCTCTAAAAAAAAAAAATACTATCCAAAGTGATCTGTAGATTCAATGTAATCCATGGCTGGGCGCAGAGGCTCATGCCTGCAATCCCAGCACTCAGGGATACCAAAACCAGAGGATTACTTGAACCCAGGAGTTTGAGATTAACCTGGACAACATAGCAAGACCTTGTCTTTACAAAAAATTAAAAAATCAGCTGGGCATGGTGATATATGCTTCTAGTCCCAACTCCCTGGGAGGCTGAGGCAGATGGATCTCCTGAACCCAGGAGATCGAGGCTGTGGTAAGCCGTGATTGTGCCACTGTACTCCAGACTGGGCAACATAGTGAGAACAACAACAACAAAAAGGCATTTTTTTTGCAAAAATGGAAAAAATCTTTCTGAAATTCTATAGAATTTCAAGGACCTCCAAGTAGCCAAAACAAT